CCCGCGCTGCCAGCCCCAGCTCCGAGCACTGGGTTGCCCCAAAGCCAAGCCCACTGCTGTGCCCGGGTGCCCTCCCCACAGCCGGGCTCCCCCAGCCCCCGCAGCCCTTCCCAGGAGCCAGCAGCCAGCTCTGCCTCCCACCTGGCCCATGTTCAAAGGGACTCTGGGGGCTGGCAGGCTGCCGGGCAGGGCTCTGTGGAAGGAAAGCCTGTCCACTTGCCCACGCATCGAGGCCAGCTGAGGCCACCAGCCCGGCCAGAGCCAGACGTACCGGCACGACTTACCCGGCTCGGGGTGCGCTCTGGAGCCCAGGCGGCAGCAGGGAGAGCATCCAGGCAAGTCCGTTGGCGAGGCAGAGGGGAGGAGAGGAAGAGGCTGTTAATGCAGAGGCTGTGCCCCAAGTACCCGGGTAGGGAGGAGAGGGAGCACTGCAGGGCAACACGGGAGGAGACAGCGGGACGCAGGCTGAAAAAAAAAAATCACACCCTATTTCCCACTTTGCCCATCTGCAGCATGGATTCTCAGATGTCTAACAGAAGGTGAGCGCATTGGTCTTCCTCAGGGAAGCAGGGGGATTCGCTCTATCCACCCACCTACTTTCAACAAATTCACTCCAGCTTTGGAATCTCTTCCCTGGACATCGCGTTGGGTCCAAGGCTGCCAGGAGGGGATGAGCCGGCTGGCCAGCTGAGACCTCCTGAATCACACCCATCCTATTTCCTTAGGAAGCCATGCTAAAAAACCCTCCATGGAAACTCTTTGAGGTTTTTTTTTTTTACACACACAACAAAACACGTCCACCTCCCCGGGCTCAGAGAAGCAGTGCCAGGCATTTGCTACAAACCTAAGCGCGGGGTCACGGGCTGGGGTCTAGCAACCCTCCCTGGTTGATTTTCACTCCTAACAATCACATCAGCATTTGAAGAGAACAAGCTCATCCCGGTCTCTGGATGGCAAAGGGAGGCAGGTGGGTATCAGGAGATGAGGGACACTCCAGGTGGGCGGCTGCTCCAAGGCTACGGTCAGCATGAAGCTGGGAAAGGAGAGGGAGAGCAGCCGGGTGCGTGCCATCAGCACTTCAGCCCTGGCTCAGCTTGATCCACACCAGCTCCAGCTAACTATGGCAGAGCACCAGGGATTAACCCAAGCCATATGTAGCATTTCACTTTTTTGGGGTTTTTTTGTTTTTTTTTTAAAAAAAGGAATGCTTCTGGGTATCTTTGTACCCTCTGCCACAGCTGGATGCCCCTGCCAAGGAGCAGCTCAGGGCTTTGCGCGGCCGGAGCTGCTGCTGGAAGCACAGGCAGCGCAAGCTGCCCGGATCTCTAAGGGTTAAGGCAGGCACAGCACAGCCTGCTTTTATCCTCTTTCTGGAGTTTGTTTTTTTCCTTCGGGGGGAAGGCCATCCTTAAAGAAACACTGACAGAATTAAAACTGCAGACACCTGCGTACAGGGGCACAAAGCACACACGGACAGTTTCCTGCTGCTATTTTCACCACCTTGAGATCTTACAAACAAAACCGGCTCATTAGAAAAATGCAACAAACCCCTCCGCTGCCCAGTTTGGGTCCTGTCCCAGCAGCAATTCCAGGCCCTGAATCAGGGACACTGGGAGCAGGCAGCACCATCCCCAGAGCACTCTGCAGAGGAGCATCACTATGGCTGCTAAATTTTACCGCCCGTTTCTATTCTACGGAGCTGCCCGGAGCTCTCTGTTCGTGCCTCAGTCTTTCTGTCAGCAAAAACACCCGATGTCTGCACTCTGCAGAAGGTGACTCGAGCTCAGAGAGGCTTCTCCTTCGTGCGGCGCTTCAATAGCAACAAGCCACCAGCAAAGCTGGGTGGTGTTATTCATTTGGCCCAGGCCCGCCAGTAGCATTCACAGCACTGATTTAACGATGATTAAATATTGATGATGTTTGTAAAGCACTTTGTGATCCTGATAGGAGGAGGCACCCATAAGGATGAGGAATTACTGCTGTTTACAAGGCACCACACACGCAATAAGGCTCTGCTTTCTAAATTCCTTGCCACAGACCTGTGGCTCCCACAATTACTACCAGGGGCTTGCAACTCTTATTTTCCCTTCAAGTCTCAGCCTTGGGCATCAGATCTTGACCTGGTGTAAACCTTAGTGTAAATAGAGGGTTTCTCTGTGGCGGTGATCTCACACCCTCCCGGCTGCCTCGTGGACGGGGGAGGGGGGGAACCTCACACACTGGAAACACCCAGTGGAGCAGGAAGACCCATGTGTGCACACGCGTGTGCCCAGAGCCCTACTGTCCAGCGTCTGGGGTACACGCGCAGCCGCCCCCCCAACACGGCTGCACGCCATCGCTGCACGGCAGCTGTTCCCCTGGTCAGAACTAGAGCCAGCCTCCCAGGGCTGCAGATGTTTAATTAGCTGGATCTGACATTTGCAGCACTTGCCACTCCCCCCCCGGCCCCAGGGAACAGCTTCCAGGCATTGAGGAGCCCTGGGAAACAGGCAGAGCAGGCAGCAGGATCCCTCCCAGCGCTGCCAGCGCACCTCTGGGACATCTGCCCAGCACTGACTCAGCCAGCCTTCGAAGGGTTAATCCAGCTGCGCTTCTTCCCCTTACCTCTGTTCTCCCCATCCTGGGCCACTCTGTCCTCCTTGGCAGCCAGCTGAGACTGTGCCATCAATGCCCCCGAGAGGGCCAGGAGCCCTGAGGTGCCGCTGACCCCGCTCAGGCTAGAAGGCTGCATGCTGGAGGGGTGGGGTGTCAGCGGGATGGGGGATGCGTGGTGGGAGAGGTGCTGAAGCTGCTGCTGCTGAAAGAGAAAGAGCAAATGGTCCTCGATCCGGGAGGAGACAGCCGCAGCCATGCCCGGCACCCCTCAGCTTCCCGCATGAACTGCGATGCAAAGCGCAATGGGATGAGGCGCGACGTGAGGACAAGGAGGGTAGCGGAGCTGTTGAGGCTGCACAGCCCGGTGAGGCTGCGCAGCCCGGGTCACGTCGCCTCCCCCTTCCACCCAGGGCACCTCGAGTACCTCCCTGTCGCGGGCGTGATCCCGACATGTGGCAGATGAGCCCAAACCATGGCTCTGCCTTGCTCTGCTCAGGGCAGAAGGAGCCAGGGAGGATCCTAGAGGCCATCCATCACCTTCGGGACACAGCGGCAAACTGTCTCACTGCAGGGAACCAGCCCTGGGCTTATCAAAGTAGTAAAGACCCTGGCTCGGCCCATTTCTGTATCGCACGGTCTGAACCCCTGACCGGGAAAGAGCCTTTGCCCGCAGCGGGACTCACCCCGACGATGCTGTTCAGTTCCCCCATGGTCACCTGCTTGGCCCGCTCCACAGCCTGCAGGACCTGCTGCTGATGCTGGGAAGGAAGAGAACGGGAGGTCACACCGTGCTGCCGGCCGGAGGGACCGCGCAGCTCAGCATCGCCCCAGCCGCCTGGGGCTGCGCAGCCCCTTCTCCTGTCCCTCCAGCCCACATACAGAGGTTTCCCCCCACCAAACCTCCCGTTGTTCAGGCTGGACTCAGGTTTGCCCCTTCCCGAGGGCACTGAGCAGCCCGGTGCACATCCCCTGCCTCCCCTCCCTTACCTCCTGCGTCAGAAAGGGTATAATCTGGGCGCAGATGGCACTCAGTCTCTTGACAATCTCTGCCTGAAAGAGAGAGCAGGTATCAGCACGGACAGGACTCTGAGCCCTGTCCCATCCCCTCCGGCGGAGGGGAGGGCAGCCAAGCACCCTGCAGACGCACGCACGCAGCCTCTGCGGAGGAGTGAAACTCTCCCCACCCGCTGAGCGTAAATCCTCCTGCTGCCTCTCCGTCCCTGCTGGGATTTCCCAAGCTGTTGCCAAGGGAGGACTCTGCCCAGGGCTGTGGGACCCTCCCAGGCTGTCAGGTCCCCCCAGGCACATGGGAGGGAACCCGACTCCTAAAGCCCTCCGTGGATCCAGGCCAAGCCGAGTTCCGAGCTGTCAGTCCTTTCGCAGCCCAGCTGGCTTTGCTCAACCCAAACCCATCTTGGCTTTGTGGGCTGCCGC